ACAAATAATGTTTGCCAACCACACCCTACCCCTGCAAAGTATTTTTTTTTAAACAGTCATTTTTTTAATCCTGCTATATAAAGTTTAAAAATTAGCATAGCATACTTAGAAAATACCAACTTGGGGGAAGGGCTCAGTTGATAAACAAATGTATGAAAATCTGGTGATTTTCTGCAGCTGGAAACAAAGTTATTCCTTGAGAAGTAGGCTTTTTTAGAATGGTAATGTGAGGAGCTCCACCAACCCTATCCCCAGTGAAACAATTACAATTGATAAAAGTTCTTTTTCCAAGTAGAATCAGGCCACTGAAAATTATTCTCAGGACATACAGCTAATAAAGAAATATTTATTCATGAAAATCTACTAAGTCTTGGTAAAAACCTTAAGAGTCTGTGGTATTTGAGCCATGACCTGTTCCAGTACTCACCCTACCCAAGCTCAGTGAAATAGAAACTCTCCTCTAACAGGGCACAGCCAGGCACACAGACTCCCTCTCCCTTCAGCTCTCAGTCCAAGATTGTGATAGTGTTCTGGGAGGGACAGACCACCAGCATTTCTCATTACCCCCAACTCCATGTTGGAGAAGCTCTATTCCTGGCAAGAACAATGAGAATTCTGAGGCTTCCTTCTCCCACTCAAACTCCACATCTAGGACAAAAGCTCTACTCCAGTTGTTGTTGTTGTTGTTGGGTGCCTTGTAGTTGGCTTCAACTCATAGAGACCCTATGCAATGCAGAAGGAAACACTGCCCAATCCTGTACCATCTGCACAATTGTTAACATTTGAGCCATTGCTGCTGCCACTGTGTTAATCCATCTCCTTGGTTCTTCCTCTTTCGCTGACCCTCTGCTTTACCAAGCATGATGTCCTTCTTCAGGATTGATCCCTCCTCATAAGATGTCCAAAGCATAAGATGAGCGACAAAGTCTTGTCATCCTGGCTTCTAAGAGCATTCTGGCTGTACTTCTTCCAATACAGATTTGTTTGGTCTTCTGGCAGTCCATGTGCTTTTTTTTTTCTTCTCTGCCTCCATCTCAGGCATCACTGCTTCTCTGGGTAGGGTCCTGCTCTCTGCTCTTCTCATGGTCCTAGGGACCGCCGCTCCTAGACTGGAAAGTTAATCACTCCCCTCCTTGCTTTATAAAACGTCTACCTTTACATTTCCGACCCTCACAATCAGTTCTGATAACAATTATTCACTATTGTATCACAAGAGACCCGTCTGCATTTCATTTCATCAGCTCCGCCTAGACAGATTGGATACT